GTATGAGGTATTTCGTTGCATTAACGTGCCTCTTTTCAATCGCTTACTTTGCTGTTGTTGACATGATAGGGAAAGACTTGCAGTTCCGCACGTATCCATGCCCGCACCAATGCACGCACACAAAAGCATAAAGTCATGCGGAATTCAGAAGTATGTACATGTTCGAGTTCATTCACGTGTTGATTTACCTTTGCAAAATAAAATTTATGCACTATCAACTTTTCGGCAGTCTGATCGAAAGTTTAGCGTTTTCTGGATGGCTTGGATAAGGGTGCGCGAATGGAAGATCGAAAGGGGTCCCTGCAAAAAAACGCGAAATGATGATCACCAAAACAATACTATATTGCAACTACTTATGAAGTTCCCCTGAGAACATTGGACCGAGTTTAACATCCGCACACATTGGCTCGTCGTTAGTAAGAATGCTTTGGTGTACACACCGAACCCATTTAGGAAAAAGGATGGAATGACAAAAATGGCGACATACCTTAGCCATGAAAAAGGTTTCATTGACTGCCTAGTAATGAATTTTTGGCGTTTCCCGATGGTGCGTGGTATCAGGTTCTTTACGGAAACTCGGATCTGTACCTCTGACCGAAGATTTTAGCAATATGGGTCTTCGACTTGGATGAACTTTGCTCTTCTCCTTGGAGTGGAAGGGCACCAGACTTCTATACTTTTTTGAATGCCGCTTTGAATTCCATCCACTTTCTAAAAAAGGCCCATAAATCTCCAAATACAGTCAAAACATTCCAAATGCTATAACGTTATGTAATTAAAGAGAGGAGACAGTTTGAAACCTACCACCAGAAGCGTCACTTTTCTCTTCTTCGGCAATTGCCGTGTGCCAGAAATCAGCATCAGCAGAAGTAAGAGTTAGTGTTCGCCGAGATTCTCCAAGCGCCCATTCTGGTTCGTCTAAGGGCAGTGCATCATCGTCCATGTAGGGAACATCATATTCCTTATCACTCTTCCAGTGACAGCTTGGTAGTTTCGTTGGTGTGATAGAATATGGAAAGAGATAGTCATCGTTGAGGAAGGTGCAATTTCGAGGTGGAAAGTCGAGCGTACTCCAGGGCCGTGGTTTTCGCAACGGTGATGTATCAGCGTAGTGAGCACGGTAGGCGTGTGACAACCACTCCGAGATTTCATCATTCAGTTGATAATGCAGTGGAGAATGCGGAGGTGTGGGGCTGCTTGCAGTGACGATTGGACTGATTGTCAACTCAGGATGATGCCAAGTTTGGCGTTGAAGAGGTTCACCGGAGAGACTGCTGCTCGGTTTACGTAATCGCGGAGTAGACACATCTGATTCATCTTTGAGTACCGATTGATCGATGTTATTAACTTTTGCAGACTTCTTTTTTGATTTTACCTTCTTCGGGAAAAGCGATTTCGAGCCGCGTGATTTAGGTACTTTCGAAGACGACTCTGCAGCTTTCTGTTGAGTCCAAAGATATTCTACGTCTCTTGGTAGTGCAGGTTCAAAATTCTTGACTTCCGACTGATGGTACTCTGATTTAAGTAAAGGCGCGGAGGAAAGCTGAACGTTTGGAACAACATCAGCCTGAAGACCCAAATCCTCGTCTTCCACAACACCTGAAGTAGTAGCCGTAAATGTGGTAGAAGTAGAGGTAGGTTTTTTAGGCTTTGCAAGCTTTGGTTTCCTCCCGACTGTGGTAGACGGAGAACGTCCATCCTCCACTCCACTTGAAGTGCTAACACCTGATCTGCGTCTCCCTGTTCCACGCCAGGATGGATAAAACCAGTTCAATACATTCCTTTCCTTTTTCTTTTCCGCCGTAACAGAAGATTCTTCATTTATGGTTTCAACGCCCAACGGGCGCTTAAACTCAGGCGTAGCCGAATGGACATAGAAGTCACGAGGTGAAATTTGAAGACTTCCACTATGAGAAGAGCTTTCTTGCTCCGAAACCGTCACATCAGAAAAGGAATTGTTATCGCAAGGAAAAGAAGATTGACGAAGTGCATCAGCCAAATTTGGAGAAGGCATGGAAGAAGTAAAATTCAATTTCTGAACCACGGGGGAAATAACAACGTCAGGAGAGCTACATATACCACCAGTAAATCCATTAAGTTTCGAATCAACAAACAAATTTCCACTAAAAATGTCACCAATAACATCCGCCTTCGGCATGCCCACATCCACCTGCGCCTCTGGCAACTCCACCTCCACTCTCGGCACATCCACGTGAGCCTCCACCTCAGGCATGCCCAATTCCACAT